CTTAAAATGTTCTTCCTAACTTCAGGCCTTATTCTCATGTCATATATAACTGTGATGTTCTGCAAAACAACAAGCTTTAAAACACTTTTTTCTTACTGGTGAAAATCAGATGATCAGATCTGTTTTCTCTCAGGTACATCGCTGTGTAAGCTTCACACAGGGACGCGGGATGTAGGGGTGCTGCAGCACCCCCTGTTTTTACATGGTTGCAAATGCAATGCCAAGTTTGTTCATTTAAATTTATTCAGTTTTAGCATTTAATAATTTATTTGCAAAAACTTTCCAAAATCGGCATCCAAACAACACCAGCCCCAGCCCCAGCCCCAGCACGAGCACCGACGTAAGTGAACTAGCCCCCCCACCCGCCAACACGGACACACACAGCACCCCCAACCGAAAACATCTTCCGGCGCCCCTGGCTTCACAGTGAACATTACTACATCACTCTCGTCAACGTAGTCCACATCAACAACAAAAATCACTGAGGCATTAAAGCAATGAGGTTCTCACATGCCAGACCGATGAAATCTGTCTGTTGTTTGGTGGCTGCAATAAGGAGCCATATAAATGGCACAGTGGTTGGAAAGCACTTCATTTAAGAAGATTTACAGAAGCATCCATTAACTACCTTCAATCTAATTGTCAGAGACACTTTCTCACAGACGGCGGGGACGGTAATTAACATGGCCGTTAGAGGAGACTGTCATAGTGATCATGAACGGAGAGATCATCCTTTGGAAATGAATGTGGTGGAGGAGGAAGGCAGAACTTCAAAGGAGCTGAAATGAGGAGGGACATGGTGGGCATTAGACTTTCTTTCCATTATAGCCTTTAGTCAAGCAGGAGAGAAGCTGACTGCCTTCCCAGTTCTTAATTAAAGCGACATTTCTTAGGTAAACAGATCCACGGGGCTCCTGGCACGGCCCAGGCTGGCTCAGGTGCCTCTCGAGACAAAAAGCATGACATTTCACCAGTGGTTACTGAAAGACGCAGTTTAGTTGGGAAAGACATACTGAGCACCTATTGGCTTTTTATTTAATAAAGGCAATCTGCAAATTCTGCATGTGGAAAATGATAGATGATTGCAGAATTTGGATAACTGCATGCAATACTGATAATATTCACTAACAAACAGTACCATGGTACACTAACAAAAAGCACCATGGTATTTAAATAATGATTAATTAATTAATTAATTAATTTAGTTAGTTAGTTTGAGAAATCAGAAATTCTAAATATCTAATAATCTAAATAAAAAGGTATTTCATTTATTAAACAAAAAAAAAGTAAAAAAAAAAATATATATATATATATAATTTATTAATTACATTTAAAAATTTTCTTAATTTCAAATTTTTTAGGAGTATCATGGGTTGGTTTTATCTGAGAAATATAAAAGTTTTAAATATCTAAAAATCTTAATACAATATATTTAAAAAACAATAATTTAATCTAAAAATTCAAAAAGAGAGATTTACCATAGTAATTTTTGGCAGATAAATCTAAATATTCAAAATATCTAAAAATCTAAATTAAGAAATGAATATAAGTTGCAATTGTGAGGTACCACAAGCTATATTTCCATCACCCTGTTTTTATGCACATTTTGAAGTATCACATCAGAAATGAGTGATGGAAATGCCAAATTTTGAAAAAAATAAATAAAAACTTAATTCACAAAAAAGTTTTTATGCTCGCTTGAGGTGGTTTTTGACTTGTGCAAAAATGAGTTAATGCGAATAATGGGAGATGGAAACGCATTTGCAGAATAAATTCAGATGTAACAAATATTAAACCCACGTGACTAATCGGCTGTTTCGGTTGATGGTGTTTTATTTACTGTTGGTTACTAGGTTACCAATACCACCGTCATCCACTCAAACAACTTGATTGAAACGCACCTAATTCATATTGGGATTTTTTGTTTTTGTTTTTTCTTTTTTTTTGCAAACTTTGAAAAGATAGATCTATTGTGAGATATAAAGTCATATTGTGAGACAACACTGCCACTGCAAGAAATAAAGCTGCAATTGTGAGACAAAAAGTCAGAATTTTACTTCCATAATCCGACACCATAAACTGTACTATGGATTTATTTTGTAGTGCAGATATTTTTACATCAATTTACAAACACTGAAAGAAACATCGATGAGAGGCCTGAACTCGTACGCACATATTTACGAGCCCTTGGGGTGATCCAGTGACCACTGATGGCTATCGTTTTGTTTTTCACAGCACATTCAGAACAATCCGAGCTTCCAGCCGGCAGCCTACTCCTGCCACAAATCTGTCCGATAGCTCCCAGATGAAGCCATATGCCTCCAGGCATCTGTAACATGGCCGAGCCGTGGGGAAAAGGTCCCGGTCTGCTGCCACCGGCTGCTGCACCTGCAGGCTCCTCTCCGGACCTCCAGTCTATGAGGATATTCAAGGAACCGGCCTCCACGCGGAGGATTATGTTACTGAGACCCGAAGCAACCCCACTGAACATGACCTGGCGTTACATCATAATTGTTTCTCTGTAATGAGTCAGCAGAGCGAATACTTGTTTTCCCGCTACTCGGCGACCCTGAACATTTCCGAGCCCGTGGATGCACTTATGAAATAGATATTTTACAGGTCTGGACGATTTCATAGCTGTTCCTTTCTTAAAGCTGCAGTCTGTAACTTTTTTTGGTTAAAAATGATCCGAAATCAATATTTGAGCAAGTACATAACCAGCCAGTGTTCAAAACTATCACCTTACTTTAGCCCGGCACCTGCAGGCTCCTCTCCGGACCTCCAGTCTATGAGGATATTCAAGGAACCGGCCTCCACGCGGAGGATTATGTTACTGAGACCCGAAGCAACCCCACTGAACATGACCTGGCGTTACATCATAATTGTTTCTCTGTAATGAGTCAGCAGAGCGAATACTTGTTTTCCCGCTACTCGGCGACCCTGAACATTTCCGAGCCCGTGGATGCACTTATGAAATAGATATTTTACAGGTCTGGACAATTTCATAGCTGTTCCTTTCTTAAAGCTGCAGTCTGTAACTTTTTTTGGTTAAAAATGATCCGAAATCAATATTTGAGCAAGTACATAACCAGCCAGTGTTCAAAACTATCACCTTACTTTAGCCCGATTCACAACGGTTAGCTTATAATAATGTCTTCTAATTTGAGTGGTACGGGTAGGTTTTCGCGGGAAATTCGAGCATGGCACTGCGTCATTACGTCACGTCTGTAAACATAAAGAAGTTGTCCCGGCTACTAGGCTATCGCATGTGAGGATCCTGATTTTCCTGCAAATACTTTTTAGGCAGGCTTTTTACGCAAAAGAGAGTGGGAAAGAAATACATACCAAGTCCAAAGTGAGCCACTGGCTCCATCTCGCACAAATACCCTGATCCTCCATCTATAATGCGTGTGTGAGGGCCATTTCGCTTGGTGTAGACTATCACCTTTGCCCCACGAGCAAAAGCCCCAAACTGTGTCCGTGGAATCACACGGAGCCATTTATTAGATGAGCCCTGTAATGAGAAACCAACAACTTATGTCAGAACTGGACTTTCAGTTGTTAAACTTCAACCAGAAATGCAGAATACTGTTTTTTAGGATGGCCATATGTCCTCTTTTTGTTCATGTCCTGGCCAGGACTTCTAAATTGCCTAAAATGTCTGGCTTTCGGCTTTGTTTTCCTATCGTTTTCAAACTTGCTTAAGGTGATGACTGAAAAGTAGTTCGACCAATAGCGTGCAGGCATTGGACATAATTGACCAGTAATGGTGAGTGGGAAGGTGGGATCTACGGAGAACAGTCAAAGCAATGCAAATATGCATACATATAATGTATGAGGACTGCAGATAGCACGTCAATAGGAAAATGAAGCCAAAACTTGGACATTTTAGGCAATTTTGAAATCCTAGCCAGGACATATCTGGGAAAAGAGGAAGTATGGTCACCCTACTGTTTCTAAGCTATCATGATGCATTTAGACCAAACAGACCAGAAAAATTGCAAAATGTATCTATTAATTATCTTAAATTTCCCCTACACAGCAATGAGTTTAAAAGGAGAGCAAATGGAACATTTTTTACATTGAGAAATAATTCCAAGATAATTCGCCAAAAGAATGAGATTTTAAAATTAATTCAAATATTTCTTCAAATTCATCCTAGACCATATTATCTGATCTACGTCATCCACATTCATGTTATATTTCTACAATAATTTATGACTAATAATCTTTTATCCGCCTTATTTTGCAATGTAGAAGTACTATTTTCTTTGAATGTGCGAGATGTCCGATTCAATAGCTGCAAATAACTAGAAGAACATGAGGGGCGTACCTTATTCAGGGGCCCTTAAGCAAATTTCAGGTATGGGGCCCCAAAATAATAACTATGTGTTCTTTTACGCCTAACCCTTATTTTGCTCGCTCGCTCGCTCTCTCATAGTTTATAGTTTATTTACCTCTTCACAACTTAAGTAAATAATTAGTCAACCTGATGCTGTTCTAAAGCCATATTAGGCTTATTTTTTTTCGGATCACAAAGGAAGACATGCTTGCACTTGTCCATTTAATGAACTGTAACCTTCTTTAATCTTTTTACAAAAAAAATGGTTCAAATGTCAAATTGAATTGTAAAATTATCCCATTTAACTCATTTAACCCATATTCCAAGTGTTCTTAAGGCATACAGTAGGGTTTGCCAAGAGACAAATCATAAATGTAATCTATTATTAAGCAAAAGTCTCCAGTCGCATTCGTGCATTTGTATGAGTGCACAGCAGTTTGCACCAGTGCGCGCATAGGAAAAGCACACAAGCGAGTCATTTTGAAACATCAGGACAAATAAAATCATGACACGAAACAATACTTTCTTCTCTGAGGTTCTGAGACAGTCAGGATTATACAAAAAGGATTATATAAAAGCTGTCATTCACTTAAGTTCATCGCGATCTCCTGGCGTTCCGTTAATCAATGCACAATCAATCTCTCATTTACATTGTATCTACACATTGTTATAATGAGAGGATTCGCGAGCTTGCAGAAGAACTCAGCACTTGACAAAAACTGGGCGTTTTGAGCAATGAGTGAAACTTTGACGCTCTCCAGAACACAAATACACACTGGAGCGTTTGCCAAATATGTTTCACCAATATCAGATGGGGCCCCCTGATTCCCCAGGCCCTAAGTGGCCACTTAAGGCCCGTTCACACCAAGGACGATAACTATAAAGATAACGATAAAGATATAGTTCTAAAAAAAATTCTCAGTATTAAAGAATAGCAGAGTCCACACCACAACTATAACGATAAAGACAAAGAGAAACGATATCATTGGAATCACTTTCAAAATGATTTTTCTCCAGCTGATGAACGATAAAAAACAATAACAGCCAATCAGAATCCATCCTGCTGTAACGAGCTCGAGAATTTAAAGCGGCAGATGAGCGTGTGCTTAGAATAAACAGACGATATCGTTCGCTGGTGTGGACGCTAATATCGTTATCTTTATAGTTATCTTTATAGTTATCGTTCTTGGTGTGAACGGGGCTTTGCCTTGCTTATCGGTTTGTCTCATTTCTGAATACCGCACTTTCCCTTCTCTTAACGAATTTCAGAAGAAACATTTGAGACAAAGTTGATACCAGAACCAAGCGTAACTTATTTCTCAAGGAAATCCTTAGGGTTTTGCCTATTTAAATGTGGCTGACCAGTCTAAAACACTATCTCACCTGAGTGACTTGATACACAGAGATGGGTTGAGCTGCACTTTCCCCATGCGTCACCAAAAGATCCAGCTGTCCATCTCCATCAATATCAGTCACAGCTGCTCCTGAAATACAGACCATTCTGCTCAGACACAGCTGTAACATATGTTTTTTCCAATTCTCAACATTAATACCAAAACATCTTTAGACCAGTTCTACATTAATACACTGGCTTTCTAATGATGATGATGATGATGATGGTGATTCAGATTGAGTGGTGACTGAACTCAATACTAAATGTCAGTAAATGACACAAGACAGTTACACAAAAGCCTGGATTTATAATGCCATCTAGTGGTAGAGAGGAGATAACCAGGATTACGTTTTGGAGATGAACGCAACCATCCCATTACTGCACAGTTTAATTGTTTGTTCATCAAGTACATCAAAAACTGACAGTTTCTCCTTTTTCATGAAGGTGTGCCCAATTAACATACACTACTGTTCAATACTGTAGTGTACACGAAAAGTTTGCTGTCAGCAAGTTTTTACAAAATGTTTTTTTAAAGAAAAAATACAGTAAAAGAGTCATAATGTGAAATATTATCAGCATCATTACTCCAGTCTTCATTGTCACATGATCCTTCACAAATCATTCTAATATGCAAATTTTATGGCCAACTTATTATTATTATCAATATTGAAAACAGCTGTGCTGCTTAATATTTTGTGAAAACCATGACACCTTTTTTCAGGATTCTTTGATGAATAGAACGCTTAATAGAACAGCATTTATGTGAAATATAACATTTGTAATGATGTAAGTCTTTGTCCCTTTTGTTTTGTTTAATACATCACTGCTGGATAAAAATATTAATTTCTTTCACAAAAAAAACAACGTAATGACTCCAAACCTTTGACTAATAGTGTATTAGTATTTCACTAGCTATGTGCCTTCACTCTGAACAAATGGGTAAACAAAGATGCACATTTGTCAATATACTAACCAATTAAGGTAAAACTACCTCAAACTGACAATAAACCTCAATGTGATCAACTGTTTCTATAGCTTGACACATTAACACACCATGTCCAAGTGCAAAGTATCTATGACAAAAAAATGAAAAGATGCACATCAGAGACTCTCAGAGTATTAACTAAAGCCAATTTAAATTTATCAAAAAAATATATATATTTTTAGCACAGCGATTGATTGACAAGCATATCCTTTGATATTGTCCAAAACGCATCGAGATGGATTTGCAACAAATGTGATGTGGCAAGCTTTTAAACAACATGAAAGTGAGTACATTAATGTTGTCTTTTTAATAACTTTTTGACAGAACATGCTCCTCAATCCTTTATAACTTAATTTTTTTTTTTTAAAGCTTTGGTTCATTTTCAAGTTATTTTAAGGGGAAAATCTTAAATTTACCATATGTAAAAGTCATGAAATGGATTTATAAGATAAACAGTCCTAAATTTTGATGGAATGAACCAGCCAAACCCTTCGTACCAGTTCCCCGTCCCTCTGGCTCGGCGGCCTCCCCGATGTTCAGCTCCTCGATCTGTGGATCTCCGTGTTCTCGCCGAGAGAAGTGAGTACATTAATGTTGTCTTTTTAATAACTTTTTGACAGAACATGCTCCTCAATCCTTTATAACTTAAAAATTTTTTTTTTTTAAAGCTTTGGTTCATTTTCAAGTTATTTTAAGGGGAAAATCTTAAATTTACCATATGTAAAAGTCATGAAATGGATTTACAAGATAAACAGTCCTAAATTTTGATGGAATGAACCAGCCAAACCCTTCGTACCAGTTCCCCGTCCCTCTGGCTCGGCGGCCTCCCCGATGTTCAGCTCCTCGATCTGTGGATCTCCGTGTTCTCGCCGAGAAACTCTGCCATGGTAAAGATTAATTACTTACTCACTTTGCCTTTTGGCTTGAGAGAGCTCCACACAAAGGAACAGTCAAAGACAAATGTACCTTGTCAGCTGCATGTTATACAACATGTCTCAAAGGAGATATTCATTTACAGGCTCATGAAACCCACGCAATATTGATTCAGTTAAAACATTTTTAGGGCTGGAAGTTCATACTTTACATTTTGATGACTAATAATGCTAACTAAAAGGTTTCTTTATACAAAAAGCTTAAGGCTTTGCTTTGCTTTGCTTTCTGAGAACCGAGGTCCAGATTGTTTGAGTATGGGATTAGAAACTAATTTGAAGCAATGTTCTGTTTAATGCTACATCCAGTCTTCTCATTAGAAAGCCATCGTGTAACGGGTGAGGTCGGATGTAGGGGGAATTTCCCATCAGGTAGAGTTGTGGTTGGACTGGGTTGTGTTTGTGGTCTGGCGGTTGAACTTGCTGGCTTGTCATGCCGCCTGGGTTTACCACCAAATCCCCAAAATAGAGAGAGAGTTTCCATAATTATTTCCTACCTTACAATGTAAATGTTAAAGAAATAACTCTGTTACATAATGAAAATACTGTGTTTTGTTAGGTCAATTTGATCAAGCAGGCAGGTTAGACAGGTTACATTCATTATGTGATTATTATTAATAAAACAATATAATTTGTTTATCTGTGTGAAATAATCTATCCTACTTATTGGGATAACATGAACATCAGAATGTTCATGTTATGGTAAATGGTAACCAGCAGGTTTTATTGTTAACTAAAACTATAAAAATTGTTTACGTCAATTAAAATGCTGAAATAAAATAAAATATTAGATATATAAAATATAGATTTACAAAAATTAAACTTAAAAACTTTAACACCAAAAAAATATCATAAATTAAATGGAATGAAAATCAATGCAAGCTATCAAAAATATAAAAAATTAAAAATACACAAAACAAAATTACTAAAAGAAAAATATAAAATTAAAAGCTAATTCAAAATATTAATAAATACTTTAATAGTATATAAATACACCAAAAGTTGTTCACTACTATTTTTTTATATTCCTGATTAGATTTGAGAACTATAACGGGGGTATTTTTAGTATTTCTGATAATGACCGAACTTTCAGTCTGTCCTTCAGGCAGCTATTAAATGACTTGCAAAGACATTAAATAATGCACAAGATCACTGTTGTTTTTGATCACCATTCACTTAGAACATCTTAGAGTTAAACATCTCCTTATACGTTCTGCACCCCTCTAAGATTTTGCCTATGCATGTCAGTATAGTCTTTTTGTACACACCTGAAGAGTCTGTTGGCTGATGGTCCTCTGTAGGCAATGTTGTTGAAAAAAACTTCTAGTTCATTGTCATTATCAAAGTCGGCTGCGATGACAGTGCGAACAGGAGATGGCATGGAAAACTTCTGTGTGGCGATGTCCTGGTACAGAGAATATCAGCGTATCAATATTTGAAACACCACAGTGTTGACACTCTTTACACTTGGGAAAATCAACCAAAGAATGGCTTACTTATAATAGTTGTCTCTACATATTAAACTAGGACAGGAAAAGATTTTTCCTTCGCTGACAGGAGAACATCAGCTTTAAGATTTGGAGAGTCAGATATGTGATATCTATGACATAAAGATCTAAGCTGCAGGTAAATCACAGTCTAAAAACTGCAGGGAGTGGAAGCAGAGAAAAGTAACTGCTGTCGTCGCGCTTCAATAGTGCAGCAACGAGTCATGGAAGAGTTATTGAGCATGCCGGCACTCTCTCAAGTATTAACCCCAATTTTAATTATAGGGCTCATAAAACCTGCAGGTGAAAGCCCATCAAAGTTGAAAGCATGTGTGCTGCTTATTATTATTGTGAAACACCATTACATTTTTTTAGGATTTTTTGATAAATAATCATTTCAAAAGAACACCATTTATTTGAAATATTTCAGTCTTTACCGCCACTTTTGATCAATTTAACGCATCCTTTCTGAATTCATGTATTCATTTCTTCAAAAAGAAAATCTTACTGACCCCAAACTTTTAAAAAGTAGGTTCTGCAAAAAATTAAAAAATTAAAATTTCTTACTACATTCAGTCTTGATTCAGCTGTCAGCAGATTATAAAACTTCCTGTTGAAGTCTCAGGAAAAATAAAGAGGTTCTTCGATCTTACTGTGACTTAAAAATAAAGAGGTTCTTCGATCTTACTGTGACTAATTACAATCACTGTGCTTTACCAGCTGAAACAAGGGCCAGGTCACTGCGCAAACAATAGAACAATGATTAGAGAATAATTGAATACTCCAATCAGACAGCAGATGTTATTATTTTATCCTCTGTCTTCTCTCAGAAGGAATTAATTACACAGATCAAAATGTAGGGATCATGCTGTTTTGTTCTGTATAACAAAGATGAATCCTACCATTCAGTATATTCACATTTAATAATAAAAAAAAAATTGATTTGCATTTCCTGAGGAGAACACCAGTGCTTTGAAGGCAGCTAAGTAACCATTTTAAAGTTTCAAGCCTGGCAAGCACTGCAAGAATCACTTTTTCTCTTCCATTACAGCTAAAAGAATATGCAAAGAGCATTTTTAAAATCTGCACCTTAAACCTTTGCTTGCGATTATTGCTGAGCTGTAGGAACAGACGATGAGGCCCATTCCAGTTTCCATAGACAATGTCTGTCTTCCCATCCCGATTAAAATCTGCTAGCGCCACTCCACGGCCATGCTGCATCGGGTCATCAACCCCTGCGACAACAAATACAAATATTTCATTGCATGTTTGCTGTGAAAGGCTAACAAACTCACCTTTCAAAACAAAATCATCAGAAAAAATTTAAAGCGTCAGCTCTTGCTTACCTACTTGTGCCGCCACATCTGTAAATGTACCGTCTCCGTTGTTGCGAAACAGGAAGTTAGGGCTGTACTCATTGTCACAGAAAATATCAGGTAGGGTCTGACTGATGATGGGACCGACCACGACCCCCCGTCCCCCTATAACACACAGCAGAGAGGGGCATCATCACCAAACGCACAGCAGAAATCGTTAGTGGCTTTCCAGCTCATTTCCCTAGCAGCGGCTCTCTGCTGCTTTTGCTGACACAGTCTCTGACTGCCCATAATCACATGTGCATTTAACCAGCTCTCTTTCAGCACATCTCACCCGGCAATCACTATTCTACAGCTCTGACCTCTAGTTGAATTACAGCAGCAAGTAATTTTTTTGATTTGTATAGCGCTTTTCACAATGAACAATGTTTCGAAGCAGCTTTAAAGAAAATAGTGCTTTTATTTCTTAAAGCCCAGCAGGACCAGGCTTTTTCTTAATGTTAAATATGAGCGTGATATTAAGATTTGTAATTGCTCTTACTTTCAAATATATTTGAAAGACATTTGAACAGAAATTTGGGAGAGGGAACAACTTTTTGTTGTATTAAAGAATTTGTTGTAAGTATTTATATTATTTTATATTGTTGCAGACTGGTTAGGATAGAAATAAAAAAATGAAGAAAAAAAATAAATAAAATAAAAGAAAATAAATTATCAAATTAAATTTAATTTAATTTAATTAAATTAAACTATTTGATGAATAGAATGTTTAGAAGATGATTTATATATATTTTGTAATCAAAGACATTAAATGTAGGCCTATTTAATGCCACTTTTGATCAATTTAATGCATCATTGTTGAATAAATGTAATTTCTTTATATACTGTAAAAGATAATATGATAGGCTAGTCACACAAATCTTTCAATATTCAATATCTTTCAATCTTTCAAAATTCTTCTGACCATTGACCGCCTTTGGATTATTCCTTTGCCTGCTTGCCATTTGGACTTCACGTCTGTGATTGTTGGACTGTCCTTATTAAACTTCTGCACATGGATTCTAATGCAGTTTCAGCCTCCTCATTACATATGTGAATAATGTGAATAAAATAGGTGAAATATAAAATATGTAAATAAAAAAATATATATAAATAAATGCATTGGTAAAAATAAATGAAACAATCAAGTTTTGCTTGAAACCATTCTGTTTTGTGTCATTTTAATGTGTGATAATATGTGAATAATGTGAATGAAATATGAAATATGTGAAAAAAATGAAAAATTTAATTCAATTAAATTACTTAAATTATAAAATAAGTTAAAACATATTGTGGTTGAAGCCATTCGATGTTTTGTGTCTTTCAAACATATGAAGCCTGCCAAGGCTTTAACAGAATCCTCTATAGTGAGGCAAGAATATCAAAAAAGCTTAATTTTGTTGCTACAGTGACATTTCCCTTCTGAGACTGTCCTGGTTGAACCCTTCTCAAGAGTGCCTCTCCAAAACTGCTCTGAACGATGGTCCAAAGCCCTGCTCTCCCCATAGTGATTAATGGAATGGCTACTTCATTGAGTAAGTCAGAGCTGAAATACGGCTCACTTGTCCTTCTGCCTTCACATGACTTTCAGTGCAGTAAACAGCTGAGTGGGCCAAAACCTTCATCTCTTTATTCAGCGCTGCCTTCCAGGGCCCTGTTCTCTCTATTACTGACTGCTTTAGCTGATAAACACTGTCTATAACTCAGTGATTCAAAGCTGATATGAGCACTGAGCTCTACTGTAAATCAGCCACAAGGCAAAAAACCCGGATCCTTCAGCTCATGGCCGTTAAAGAGTCCTGGGTAATATATTCACTGACATCATCGTACACTTACACACTCCCGCTCACATATTCATAAATAAACGGACATGCACCTGTGAACTTGTTGACTCCGGCCTGCTCAGCCACGTTTGACAGTGCAATGATTCCCTTGGACAGGTCACTTGAACTTTCGTCCATTTCAATCAGAGCATGTGGACCTACAGTTCCGCTGGCATAATTGGCAATGTAAATGGAATAACGGCCTGTTCCCTAAAAAAAAGATTTAAAAAAAGATAAAAGCATTGAGTTTATAGTGATTAGATTACTAATAATGTTTCAGCTCATAAACAATTTTGAAAAATTGCTAAATTTCAGAAATAACCTAGAAGTAACATTGAATTAAATGTCAAATGTTGAAGTTCAAAGACTGAAATAGCATTTTCTTGTAAAACATCATCCAATAATTTTTGTTTTATTGACAACTTTGAAAAAAAAATTACAATGTCCAACAGTAAATAAACATATATACACAGGATAATTTGTATTTGATCTGAAAGTCATAACATTTCCACAACAGTGCCATTTCCACCATTTCTCAAATTAGGTATTATGTTCCATAGCATTCTGTGTTGGAAATTATATTTTTTACATTTTTAGAATACAAAAAACTCAACAGTCCCACAAACTATCGATACTTGCACATATACATTTTATTAACAACATATAAAATATATATGTGTAAGTATCGATAGTGTGTGGGACTGATGAGTTTTTTGTATTTGGCCTTGGTTTGGTATGTTTTCTATCTATTACCAGCAGGTGTGCGAGGCTAATTGTTAATTAACATTTTTAGAATAAAATGTCTGATATTTAATTCCAAAATGCCTTTCCAATCCTAATTTCATTTATAAATAATATTTTCATACTTTTTGCATAAATTAACAGTTTGATTCACAAAATTACAGCTTGACTGACATTGATATACAGTACATAAAAATGATTTTGTTCATAGGTGGCACTTGTTTTATCCTGATTTTCAAACATTACATGTCTCATATTTCATCTCAAACATGTTCTTCTTCACTGGCACTGCTGTCTCCTTAGTAAACAAGTACACTAACGTAAAGCAATAATATACAACTCAATTAGGGGCAAAATCATTAGTTGCGGTGGTGTGTAATTTGTGGATAATCTGATGTACTGTAAATCATTTTCTCACAGTCAAGACATAAAAAAACATCGCAAAAAAAGTTTCCAAGACATTTACGTGATCTTCATATAACATAAGAGAAATAAGTCAAACACTCGTCCACATACAGTTGCATACACACGCACACATACTCTCACACACCACACAGATATTTCAACTGCCTCCCCTTGGATATTAATTTCACACCCCATTATCAGAAAGATTCCCTGTGGACATGAAGTCAGTGAAGTAGCCAAGCAAATGAACTTACGCACACATTTTCAATAAAGACACCCACGATCCAACAGCATGGACATGGTGAAATAAAAGAAATATATACATAATAAGTATATAAATATCAGCAGCTCGTGACCAGAATCATAATGAGGCACAACAATGAAAATGTCAAACGCTCTCTGGTTTCTACATAACCGCCACTTCAGGTCAGCAAATACAGATTAAAGCATAATGGAGTTAAAACAGATGTTGCCCCAGAATGTATTAGCAGCTTAGGTTGTAATGTCATGATTTCCATGTTTTTCATGCTCTGTTTATCAATAAAGAATTAGATTTACAGAAAAGTACAGCAAAGTATGAGAAACTAATATTTTCAAAGCATATTTTGTACCATCTCTGGTTTCATGCAAAAATGTTTTGGGTTCGAAATTACGGGTTGAAAGGTGGGTGTACTGACCCCCCCCACCCAATAAACTAAATAATAATAATAATTATTATTATTATTATTATGAAAATATTACCACACATTATTAACAATATTTAGTTTTTAGTCAATATTTAGTGATTTGTGCACAAATCTGAGAAAAAGAAAACTCTTTTGTTGCAGACTAAACTATAAAATATTGTCTTTTATGTATTATTAGGAGAGAAAGCTGCAATAAGCACATAATAG